CGGCGGCCGCGCCATGTGGCTGCTGGGGCCGCTGTGCCTGCTGCTGAGCAGCGCCGCGGGTGAGTCGGGGGCGTGCGTTGAACTTCCTGTGGGGCGCGGGGACCGCAGCCGGGCGGCGATCGCGCCCCCTTCCCGCGCCTGGGCCGCGTCTCGGGGCGTGGGTGTGCGCGGAGGGCGGACCCCGGCTCGGGGCTAGCTGGGACCCCGCGGAGGGGCCGCGGCGGGGTGCGCGCGGTCCTATTGTGTGGGCGTGCGCGCCGGCTGGTGTGCGCGCGGGGCTGTGCTGGGTGTGCGAGGGGGCGGTGTGTGCGCGCGGGGTTGTGTTGTGTTTGTGCGCGGGCGGGGCTTTGTGTGCTGCCCGGCTCTGGGGAGCCCGGCGGCTGCCCCGATTGGGCGGCGATCTCGTGTGTGTGTGTGTGTGTGTGTGTGTGTTGAGGAAAGGCGGAGGGGATAGGAGAAGAGAGAACTCTTCCCTGGTCCCCTCTTACAAGACGCCCGGATGCTGGATGTCGCTTCTGCCTCCCCAGGGACTATTCCCGAGTCTCTTGCATCCCCTTTGTGCCTCAGTTGCCCCACCTGAACCGCGGGGACAAGTAGCATTGGCTCTTCCCTTCTTTCCTCCTTGGGGCAGTGTTTGGTTGGGGCAGAGTGAGATGAAGCAGGGCCGGCCCAGGGAATTATTTCTCTTCCACACGGAGCCTGGGAACAGACCGTTATTGAAGTCTTCTGACCACCTGACAGGGGACATGCCCTGGGAGAGGACCCCGGGGCTTCATCTGGCGGCCCTTTGAACCTGGCATCGCACAGCTTGTGCATCCTCGGTCCAGCAGAGCGGCAGGCCTGCGTCCCTCCCAGAGAGCGCGCTGTTCCCAGGAACTTCTGTGCTGATGTGGGCACGCACCGAATTCCTCCGCTGCCCCTGCCCGCCTGCCACAGCAGTCAGCAGCCCTCCTCTGCTCTTCCTGCACTTGGCCCCTGTTGGAGTCCAGCCCCCCTGATGTTTATTTCAGCACAGCTGATGCCCAAAATGTGGGTGACGGCCCAGTGAACTTCCTTTAGCAGAAGCCTACGTGGTTGGCGTTTGTGCTCTCCACATGTCTACTTTCTGCCTGATTTTCTCAACTGCTTCTAGCAATTGCCTCTTGAGGTGTTTTGGTGCTGTGTTTGCTGGGCAAGTTGAGGCTTACTTCGTTCCAAGGTGCTCCCTGGAGAGTGTGCGCTTTCAATGGGGAATCTCCCTCTTCTTGAAGTGTCTGGTCTTGGGCATCCTCAGAACGTACTGTCCAGTCTTGCCAGTCCTCTCCCCTTTCAGATCTATGATGTCATTCCCTCTCCTACCAAACTCCATTTAGAAGTCTGTGGCTTTGCTGTGGCTTCCAGTGGTGGGATAAGGGCATAGGCTGCCTGGAGGCGGCTGCAGACTTTTACCCAGATCTGGGCCAGAGTGCCTTATTACTCCTTGGCCAACACAGGAGAGATATCTGAGGTGGTGTTGGTGGTCACAGGTATAAGTTCTTATTTGGAGGCCGTTCTAGCAGGCTGACTTCCAGGGCATCTCAGCCACCAAGACTTACCTGGAGTCACACATTCAGCTTGAGTAGCTGTGGTTTGTCCAATAATAACACTCAAGAAGAAAAAATCTGGAAGCCTTTTCATCTTTGTATCTGTCCTCAGCTACTTGTGGCCCAGTGGAAACTTATTTATTGCAGCTCCCATTTGGTACTAGGTTGCTTCAGTTGTCACTCTGTAAAAATAGTTGTAAAGTTAATTTTGTCTCTCTCTGGTCAGCGCTGGTTATTAAATATGCCTTTGTACATATACAGTACCAAAAACCAGTGAGTTTCACTGCCATTGAGTTGATCCCAACTCATGGCGACCCCCACTGGGTTTCCAAGGCTGTAAATCTTTTTATGGAAGCAGACTGCCTCATCTTTCTTCTCCAGAGTGGCTGGTGGGTTCGAACAACTGACCTTTTGGTTAGCAGCCAAATGTCTTAACTACTACACATAAAGTAGTACTCTTTATTTTGATCCAGAGTAGTTAAAGTGGAGATGGAGTGGGAAGATATGTTTGGGAGGAGGGCAAGGAGCTATGTAATGGTCCCAGGTATTGATTTTACCTTATTTTTTGGTTTTATTTTCGTGGTCAGTGAAGGAACTCTGGTGGCACAGTGGTTACAGTATTTGGCTGCTAACGGAAAGGTTGATAGTTTGAACCCACCAGCCGCTCCAAGGAGAAAGGTGAGGCAGTGTGCTTCTATAAAGATTTACAGCCTTGGATACCCCATGGGGCGGTTCTCCTCTGTCCCATAGGGTTGCTGTGAGTGGGAATCAATTAGATGATGGTGGGGTTGGGTTTTGGTGTCTGTGAGTCTCTGGCTTTGAATCACCTTTACAGTTGCTATTTAGAAACTGCTAAGCCGGTTGAGAAAGGAGCCCTGGTGGTACAGTGGTTAAGCATTTACCTGCTAAGTGAAAGGTCACTGGTTCAAACCTGCCAGTCTCTCCTTAGGAGGAAGATGTGAGTCTGCTTTTGTAAAGATTAAAATCAAAACCAAACTCATTTGCCATTGAGTTGATTCCGAGTCATAGTGACCTGATAGGACAGAGTAGAACTGCCTACTTGATGGCAGTGGTTTTAGGTGGGTTGTGGTATGTGCGTTTTTCAGGTTACATGAAATGTTGTCCTTTTAGGATGGATTCCACTTTGACCCCAGTAACTCCCAAAAAGCCCATTGCCATTGAGTCGATTCCTATTCATAGTGACCCTGTAGGACAGAGTCGGACCGCCCCATGAGGTTTGTAGGGCTGTAAATCTCCACAAAGGCAGACTGCCTCGTCTCTCTCCCGCAGGGTGGCTGGTGGGGTCCAACTTTTGGTCAGCAGCCGAATGCTTTAACCACTGTGCCACCAGAGCTCCTCTGCCAGTAACAGGGCTGGTCGTTTTTCCTGAGCAGACAGTCTCCCAGGCTCCCAGACCATAGAGAGGCCTGCATTGGTTAGTGGGACTAGAGACTCTACTCTTCTGTCCGTTATCCTACACTTCAGTCCTTTTCTGGGAAGTTGAGAAAACAAGAGATTACAAAGGTCAGGATTTGGATTTGTTTCCATATGATAGTCTGGGAGGACACCTAGGGTTAAGATTGAGCCCTAGTTTGAGCCTGGGGTCTTTGTAGGGCTGAAAGCCCACTGATATTCCAAAAGCATTTGGGGAACTTTGTTATTCAGAAACCTTCTCAGACACTTTCATGTTTTGTTTTTTTTCTCCCCCTTTGTTTTTCTTGTTTGTCCCAGGGAAGTGAAACATTGATTCGGGCTGTTATTACTTTTTAATGTATCGTGTGTGAAAGGCCCAGGCCGAGTGTGTTGTCTGCCCTCCAGTTCTTCAGTTTCACTGATTTAAGGGCAGGGGTCGCACATTTCTAATGGCAGCCCTGTCCTGGACTCTGTCATTCTTCTCACCTCCTCCTGGGCTGACCTTTGCTCACACTCCCTGACACTCTCTGTCAGTGAAAAGGCTCGGTTTTCCCCCACTTATACTCCCAGGAGTGTGGGTGTTGACCTTTTCTCCTGGAAGGAGTCTGGGTAATGGAGTGAGCGGGTGGGTTTTACTGTTTGTTTTAATGAACCATGTAGCTAAGCATGGTCTGGGTAGATGGGACTGTGTGCACAGAAGTACAAATAAACACACCTTGCTGCTTTTCATCTTCAAAGAGATGTGGCTGAGACTCCCTACTGGGATGTGAGGTGTTTTTTCCTGACAGCCCACTTGGGCCATTTGCCTTGGAATACAAGGGGGAGGGGGGATGCGAGAAGGAGAGGGTGGAAAGGTAAATTCTGGGCCTTGAAGACTGGTTTAGATACTTTTTAACCAAAGTCACCAGGGCAATTTGAAAGTAGGCCAATTGTCATCTTGGTGAAATACTTTAGAGAATTTTTGGGTGGTGGGAAATGTATAATAAAATAATTTGGTGTTAACCGCTTGGTCTGCTTGCATGGAACAAGAGGAGGAAAGGGAACTCATTTGTGGAGCAATCTGTGTGTGAGTGCTTTGCTTGCCACTTGAAACGCATGATCTCCTTGCATATTCCCAACGATATTGTGTGGCAGGAAGTCATGTTTTGGGTCAGGAAATACCACCAGCTGAATGTTTTAACCGCTGAGCCACCATAGCTCTTTAGATATTGTCACATGTCGGTCAACTCTCCAGGAAAATTTGCTCATTTGGTGACCACTGCTCTGAGTTTACTTAGCAGAAGCGTCAGCTTTCTCTGGGGGCCATGTTGATGTTCATGTTACATGCTGTTGAGTCAGTTTAAACTCCTCGCAACCCTGTAGGCTAGTAGAACTGCCCCATAGGGTTTCTGAGGCTGTCATCTTTACGGGGAGCCCTGGTGGTACAGTGGTTAAGTGCTCGACTACTAACCAGAAGGTTCACAGTTTGAACCCAGCAGTCACTCTGCTGGAGAAAGATGTGGAGCCTGCCTCCCTAAAGGCTTTCAGTCTTGGAAACCCTGTGGAGCAGTTCTCCTCTGCCCTGTAGCATTTTGGGTGGGACGGCAGTGGGTTTTGTTTCAAATCTTGACGGGAGCACATCATCAAATCTTTTTTTCCCATGAAGCCACAGGTGGGTTTAAACCTCTGAACTTTTGGTTAGCAGCCAAGTGCTTAACTCTTGCGCTACCAGAGCTCCTTGATGTTCATGATAAATACGTAAAACAAATCTCAATCTTCTAGTAAAGTCCGGGCTTTTCAGAATAGCTGACTGGTCTTCTTATGTGAAGAGGTAGGAAGAGCCCCCGTGGTGGTGGGAGATAGTGCAGGCCTGGGTTTAATTCTTGGCCTGAGCTGAATTACATGAAGGGTTTGTTTCCATTCACTAACCTGTTTTCTGCTGTTTCTTACGAGTTTGTTGTATTTCACAATTAAAAAAGTAAAAGACACTCTAGGCACATCTTGGAGTGATGGAACTGTTTTAAACTATGAGGTAGCCCCAGGGACAAGTCTATTTTTGGTTATTGGGTTTTCTTGTTTGCTTTCTGTCCTCTCTTTTGAATATT